GCTTTGCCAATCTAATTTGCTTGGAAAATAAACTTGCTAAAATAAAATGCTCATTGCACCAATTAAGCTCTTTCTGTTTATTTTCTATCAACCACTACTACTAAGCTAATTAATAGCTAGTCATTTGAGCAAAAAGTAGCTAAAATGATAATTAGCTTAAAAGCTTATGTGGCATGTCAAGATAATTGTCAAATTAGTTTTCCATTGGGGTTGCTCTTACAACATTTTTTTAATAAGGTAGTTTTTCACAAAAAATGAAATGTATAAGGTAGTTTTTCACAAAAAGTCCTTATAAATTTCACTTTTTTTTTTTTTTTTTTTTTTTTTTTTTTTGTGGACTTCAGACGGGAAAAATAGCGATGAGGAGCAATAGTGTCGGGAATCTCTATCCTCTCTCATCTAAATCATCATCTTCTTCTTCTATTGTTTTTGCTATTCTTTCATCTGAAGTATGGCACAAACGTATGGGACATCCAGGAGATCATACTCTTACTTTCCTTAGAAGTAATAAACATATTGATTGTAATAAAGGAAATGACTTTAGTATTTGTCATGGTTTTTAATTAGGCAAACATTGCCACCTACAATTTACTGTTTATCCTTTTGATATTGTACACCATACGTGATTTGTTTACTTAATCTCTCCATATCAGATCAAATGGGGTGTCGTTACTACCTGCTTTTCCTTGATGACTATTCACACTACTTAGTGATAGAACAGGAAATTGTAGAAAAAGATGGAAGACAAAGATCAAGATCGAAAAATTGCAGTGGCTAGGGTTTAGCTCTAATACCAAGCAGGGTGATGGAATTTTCCCTCCAAGGGCTTGTGTTATTATTAACAATATATATAGGTTACATCATTAACCTACTTAACGTAATTACATTATGCTATATATATCACAAAACAAAATTTGAGAAATGGTATACAGCTTAACAATGTCCAAAACAGCCTAACACGACCTAAAACCCTAATTCGAACCTTAATAAGTCAGCTAGCTTTTTTCTATAATTAATTCTTCTTCTACTTTTTCTCTACAAAATCTCTCTCTCTCTCTCTAAACGATTGGTTAACTTAACCGTATGAGGGGTTTTCTCTAAAACACCTCTCAAGACACTTGAGCTTCTCTATTTTGCAGGACTCAGTTTGACTAGACGAGCAGCTTTTCCCATTTTCACATTATGAAATTTTATTGCAGAAACAATAAATATCGTCTTGCTGATGTCAATTAACTTGGTTAAAATATATGATACCCAATATTGAAGATCTAATTTTTTTTTTAGCATCATTACGCTTATAGCTCTCTCAGCAGCCTACACTGATTTCTAATTCTTTACAACGGCTTTGATGAAGATATACTAGTATACTACATCATCGAATTATAGCCTGGTTGCATTATTTTACATATATATAGTTGTTGGCCAGGAATAATCGAAGAAATACATTGATCACGCAATTTATGATTTGGTATCCGATTTGCTAAAATAATACGTACCTTGTGCCGGTGAAATCATTGACGCATCTTAATTGAAAGATAGTCTTAGGGTGGAAAATGAAATATTATTAAACTCTTAGCGTAAGATTTGTAACGCATCTTATATAATTTAGTACCAAAAATTAATTAATTAAAGTTGTCTATATAATTTAATATCATCATTCATCACCAACCTGAAAGAAATTAAATCAGTGATGTGGATTTAACAACCTATTGATCTCTCCTAGTCTCCTAACCATGATTTAGTATGTATGCCATATTATATGCTAGTCAATTTACGTTAACACCTGCGAGACTACGACAACAACTAGTTAGGTGATGATTAAATGCGGGTCCACTTAATTATTAGATTCAATTGTTATTTTTTTTTATTAGTAATAAATATAATTAAAAGAGCTTTTTGTCAAAAACTAACTAATAAAACCCAGATTTTGCGAGATCCTACCTAATAAAAAAAATGTTGTACTACCTAATCAAGGTAAAATGTTGTAAAAAACTACCTAAGAAGGTAAAATGTTGTAAGATACTTCCTCCGTTATGTTAATATTGCAACAAGGAGGAAATTACGCATCCCAAAACACCTTTTATATGCTAAATATCTATAATTGTGTAAGAGTAAAAATTATAAAAAGTTGATATTGTGAAAGTATTTTATGAGACGAATCCAACAAGATCCCACTTGACTATATTTTGTTTAACGTATAACTCATATTATATGGTCAAACAAGAGTGATGAATAGTGCAAAAAGTCCATTGTTGCAATATTAATAGAACGGAGGAAGTACTACATATGTTGGATTTCCACCATATCATTGATCGATCTCAAAACACTCCCGAAACCATTGCTTTAATTCCCAAAACTAATACAACTAGCTAGCTTGCAATCGCCCCGAACCACTTTTCAACCCCAAAACCACCACCTCTAAGCCCAAAAACCACCATCTTGAAGCACTAATCTACCCTCAGATCACTAATTCGGAATATCCTCAAACCACCTGGAAAATAACCTTACCACCTTAAAAAGCAACCCTCATCACGGTGGTTTCGAGGGTGTTTTAAGGTGGATCAACGTTGTAAAATTAAGTCAACAGTGGAAATTCGGTCAAAGGTAGTATAATACAACATTTATATTTTATTAGGTAGTTTCTTACAACATTTTTTTATTAGGTAGTTTTTCACAAAATTTAGGCTTTATTAGGTAGTTTCTCACAAAAGGTCCTAATTAAAATTATAATTTTTTAATCATTAGATTCAATTATTAATAATTTTATTAGTAATAATTATTTTAAAAAATTGATACATTGAAAATCAATGAGACAAATATAATAAGACTTACATGAGTTTATTTTTTCTAATTAATAAAAAGTACTTGCCCCAATGTTTCGTCAGTCGAGAAAGTATCATCGTCTTCTTCTTGAGATTAGAAACAAGTTTCCACCCGATGACAAGTTGGTAGTAGTTACGGCGAAGGAGAGAAGTTAGGTCATCCATGGTGGAAGAGAGAAAAAGTTTAATTGCTTGAGATTCTCGAATTTTTCGAAAAATGCCCAAAAAATTAAATTGGGGCTTTCTTATGTGATGTATAATTGTTGAAATTAATTGTATCTAGCAAATTTTAACAAAAAAATTAGGTACTAGTTTCAATAACCAAGCTTTAGTCATAGCTATCAGTAAGTTCAATGACTATTTCATGACCAATGCTACTGAATTCTTTAAATATTCATCAAATGCCATCAAATTTTCACAAATTCACCAAATGTCACTGAAATTTTCAAAAAATTACAAATTCCCTTTTAATCGTACATAAGTTAAATTCCGAGCTTATTAAAAAAAGGTTAAATTTCGAGCTTGGTTAAAATGACATAAATGCCTCATCACCAAATTCACCGAGCTTACTAATGGTTAACGAGGCATATCGCATTTACGCCCTTTTAATCAAACATAATTTATCTTTTTCTTTTATTTTACAAGATACATAAGTTATGTTAAACATACTATATATATGTTAAATTTCAAGCTTGGTTAAATTCGAAAAAATGACGTTAATGCCGTTAAGTTTTTACAAATTCACTAAATGCCACTAAGTTTTCCAAAAAAACCACCAAATGCCTTTTTAATCATCATACATAAGTTATTTTTAAACGCAAAACACGACATTTACGTTATTTATTTTTTGTCGATTTCAAGCTTAATTTGGACCCATAAAGATCCAAATAACCCCAAAACCATACCCGTTTCATGGTTAAAAAATAACTAAACGTAAATCGTGATATTTCTTGACACATGTAGTCATCCAAAAATGTTACCCCACAATTAAACGCGATGATGAACAACCTTTCACCGCCATTATTGGTCGAGTCGAGTATTTAATCTCGGGAGTACTTAAAATCCACATTCAGTCAAACACAACTTACAAATTAGTCTAAATGTTTAGTCAAAGCATAGTCCATTCATCATTTTAGCCCAAACCCTTTTTATTTAATTTCATTTTATTATTAATTAAGCATGATTAATGAATAATAAAATCCTAAACCTAAAATAAGTTCCGAATGAAATGGCGCCTAATTATCACGTACGTAATGCTAAGTAAAAAGATTAAAAATGAATTTAAACGTAATTCTAGAAAAGGAATCTGCCGTGTCACGACAAATTCTGTCGCACCACGGAAAATTCGGTCGCGCCAAGGAAAAATTTGTCATGACACGACAATTTCTGTTGTGACCCGACTATTTTCTAGGTTTTTGTTTTGCGGTGCCTTTAATACTAGGGTTCTGTACCTCACCCCTCATATTTTCTCTATAAATACGAGGCTGATTTCTCAATTTCGTAGCACCAAATTATTCTCTCTCTCTCTCTTATGCTCTAGCCTAAACATTATCCTTCCTTATTCTTCCACAGTACATCCCTCAAGCACTCCCCGAAGTCCGTACTTTACCCAAAGTTCTACACTTAAACCAAGGCGTAAAAGGTAGAACTATTTGAGGGTTTGGCCCCAAATCAACTCTACTTAAATTTAATTTAGTTTCCAGTATTGTTTATTATATTTTCCTTGAAATTACTAACGCGTTTATTGTTTTATAGTTTCAAGCAAAAGCAATTAAATTAATTTAAGGAATCATGTTCCTTTTGTTCCTATTATATTTCTAACGATTTTTGTTACTTCATATGTTTTTTATATACTAATCGTTGTTTTCATGGTTAAATTGCTTCCAATGTTAATGTTATTCTATTTTTTTTATTGTTGATCACCGTATTGCATGTATAAAGGGAATATGTAATTGAATATGACGCTTAATAAGATAATTTGTACGACTGGTCTAGATTCATTTATAATCTTTAATATCAAGTGATCTCTAATATTTTAGAATTATATATGTGTTGCATCAGCATTCAACCAATGTAGCTTAATAATAGTTTGGAGTAAATTGAATTTTTGTTTGTATGCCTTTGAGATAACATGAATTACTTTTCACAACAGAAATCGAGTAGAGGCTTAGAGCCAATATGGGCGAATGTGATTCCATGACTCACTTCGTACCATCATCTCCGATCCTTTTTCGTGGTTCCGAACCATATGGAGTTAATAATCTCATGGATTATGATTTGTGTGTACCTTTCACGGGTCAATCATTATTGCCTATCGTTATCCCTAGTTCGTGATTGCCTTAAAACTTGTTAACGACTCCCTACTTTGTTTTATCCCTAATCGTATATGTCAATTCCCACTTCCTACGAGTGTCAATCATATTCACAGCTAGTTAGGCGCGCTTTGAACGTACGACACCTACAACACTTAAAAAACAAACTACTTATGACAAAGCACGAATAAATGAAAACAATAGTTGAAATTCTGAAGAAACTCAGCAACTAATCTAGCCAAGCTAAAATAATTTGAGTTCTTTCTTTTATATAAAAAACGAAAACAAGTACAAAGGCTTTTAATTCATAATAGAAAAATCAGAAGAAATTACATCCAAGAGCGATAAAAGACTCTCATTAAGCCAAACACCATCGTTAAATGAGTATACCGTCCATTTTGAGAATCGGTGAGCCCTTGAGTTTTGAGAGCTCATTATTATTATTATTTTTGGCAGATTTACTATTGCAATGAATTACAAATTACAAATAAAAAAGAATGAGGCTTAAAAAAAAATAATAATGAAAGGAATATGAAGAATATATAATATGTCTAACAAACATGTATTTTTTAAAAAAAAAAAAAAAATCAAGCAAAAATATATTTTTTAGTCCACAATTCTTAGAGATGAGAGCCTTTCTAAGAAGAGGTTGAAAGAAGAGTCATCTCCCATCATGTTAGCTCTAATATATCGTCGAGAGACGTTGATTCCGAACCGTGAGCCATTCCTTCCTTGGAATTTCAGCTTCCTCATTACTTCTTCTGCATCTTCACCACTTTCAAATTCCACCCATGCAAATGCTGCGTAGGGTTAAACAATTCAAAAAATTATCTTTAAAAATATAATTATTAAATTTAAAAGTACACTTCCTCTTATTTTATTTAAGAAATTAAATTATCTAAACTTACATATATGTCCGTCAAAGTTTAATATTTTTTTTACAGAAATAGAGGGAGTAGCAATACATTGTCAAATTACGATCAGACCATGCATGTTATATAATTAAGCACGGCACGCGTGGGGCCTAAAATTGAGATTTATAAATAAATTTTTCCTTTATATTATATGTACTCCGTATAAAATATTCAAAATTTAGAGCCAAAAATTGAATAATGACAATTATACCGAACAATAATCAAGGCTGTAATAAATACCTGGAGTGGGAGAAGTGAGCTTTCCCATGAAATTACAGAAGCTTGGAGAAAAGTCTGGGAGGCGAATACGCGGAGTGTGTTGGACAACAACAGCTCTAAGCTTCTCCCAGCGTTGCCCTAATACGCGGTGGCCATATTCGAACAACCCTTCAACTTCGAACAATTTAGGCACCTTGGAAGGCTTCTCAACCATATAATAAGGATCATGTTCATATTTATCAGCTATGAAATTTAAGATCTTTGTTGCTCGAAGTTGCCCTTCATGACTACTTCTAATGCTAGTCAACAATATTTGCTTCTTCATCTTTTTTGCAGTATCTTGATCCCTTATGATGGCCCACCTATAATAAGTGGCTAATCGTAATTTAGAATTTTGTTCTTGAGTAATTGAAAACAAATGAAATAGAAATAACATTGCATGCATGTGAGTATGTGACCTTCATGAACTATTACGACTTTTGATCTATCTGTCGTAAAAAATAAAATATTTTAACTTTTTACACTATTCATAAACTAACTTTGACTATAATATACATATACGATTTATGTTATCATACATACAAAATATTGTTAAATTAAAATAATGCCAATCTATTAATAACTTTACTCTTGAATTATCTAAAAAAAAAAAAATTCCCAAATCATTAACATATAACTGTATATAAAGTTTGCACACTTGATATTTGAAATCAAGAAAACAAAATATGTATGACATGACATTAGGGGTAGGGTGTGTGGTACACTTACCCCTACTCTAGATCCAGCATGCCCAGAAGTCTTAGACATAGTAAACAGCATAACATCATAATCAGCTGGAGAAGTTATAGGTGTGTAGTGTGGCCAATAATAAGCAAGGTCATATATCACCACTCCTTCTTCCCTGTTCACCACCGGTGTTCGAATCGTGCCATCGGGGTTATTCGGAGATGTTACCACTTCAACGTACGGACCCGATTTCTCTTGGAAGGTGTTGGCATCTCCTTGCCATTCAAATAACTTTGATCTCTCTTGCTCTATTGCCTCTCCATAGTACTGCCATTAAAAAATTGGATATGTCAGTATCACATCTGACATCAAAAGACTTCAACAGGCCAGCTAACAATACTCCCTCTGTTTCTTAAATACATCACCTTGACAGCTTGACTTTTGTATTAATAACTTTTTTTTGAAACTTTAATACTATTCACTTGAGAGTCGTAATGGGGTGAATATGTGACCTCAATATTACAAGGTGTGTTCCTTATCAACGCTACCAAGATTGTTTGGTACTATATAATTAACGGGCAATACTAATAATTTAGTACTTTATATAATAGGAAGGTGACTATCGTTACGTTACTTACAGCTAATACGGAGTATGTTTAAGAATATAATACCACATTACCACGTATAATTAATTTACATCTTATGGTATAGTAATTCAAGGATAAATACTTTTTTTTTAAGAAAATTCAAGGATAAATATTATGTCATGCATGACATCACAATAGTAATATAATAAATACGTGAGCTTTTATTTTTTTATTTTTTATTTTGAATAGATACGTGAACTTAAATGAACAAACAATTCTAAATTAATAAATAGTTTCTCCATAAATTAAAGATTAGTAACATTAACAATACATCAATCTTCATTGTTTAAATAATAATAATAGTAATAATAATAGTAATAATAATAATAATAATAAAATCTTATGCTCAATTTGTATGAGTTATATATGTTCATAATATATTAAACTAAAAAAAATAAAAAATAAAAAAAATAAACTAAACGTCATTTTTTTTATTAGTTAATTAGGAATAGAAAGACTTGTGCATTTATTAAAAAAATAAACGTCATTTTACTTTTAAACTAAGTAGTAAGCTATTCATAATTTGAATTTTTGTGCATTTATTACAAAAAGACATTAATTCGTGGTTTTAGATGCCATGTATGAATGAAGTATAACTGTTTTATTTTTACTCGGTATTTTTTCTTAATTTTACCCACTTTTAAATGCACATTGTATCCCCTATAAGGGATCGAGTCACCCTTGTGATACTGATCGATTAACACATATAACACTGAATGAGTAACTCATTTAACATTGACAAAGTAAGTGCTGTAACATTAATCGAGTAACCCCTATAATACTAACGAAGTAATAACCTTCATTATGGCCACATTGTGCGGCTAGTCACTTGTAAGAATTTGTGTTCACTTTTATCCATTTTTTTATTTAAATTTTTTTATTATTATTTTTTGCAACATACACCCACCTTACACAAGACTTAATAATTGTTACAATGTTACATACTAGTATACTACCTCCGTTTCATATTATTTGTAACAATTTGACATAAAATAAAGGGAAAAAAATGTAGTATAATTGATACAAATAATACAAATTGGAGGTAGTATTTGACTTTTTTCTTACTTTCATTACTACAAAGTAGAACTTACAAAAAATTGAGTGAATATAAAAGTAGTGCTACAAATGATGTAATATTGATATGATATTTTGATTACTAGACAATATTTTATAAGTCAAATGTACAACAAAAGGTCAATCCTCAATCAGTCAATCTACATTAAATTAGCTAAAATTACCAAAAGTAGATCTACATTAAATTAGCTTAAATTACCTGGTAGTGCCACATACAAATGATGTAACGTAATCTGATATGATATTTTGATTATTATTCAATATTTTATAAGTCAAATGTAGTCCAAAACCTCATTCCTCAATCAGTCAACCTACATTAAATTAGCTAAAATAACCAAAGTTAAATCGAATACAGTTAGAAAAGGAAAGATATCTACAATTATCAATTGTATATATTCAATTACAATTTCTTTTAAAACATAAATATACATTTTTTTTTTTTTATTGCACCATGACTGATTTTATGTTTGTCAATGCATTACTTTAGCAATTAATTTCTGTAATCATACTTTTGTAAAAATTATAAATACCACCATGTATTGTTCACATTTTGTACAATATTACCTCAAGTTTTTTTTTTTTTTTTTTTTGAATTTTTTAAAAATTGTATTATACCACCTAATGTTTCAAAAACCTTAAAAATTCCCAACACTTTTGCCTTATTTCCCTATATAACATCACGCTGGGTCCCACTAACAAATTTTACTCTCTTTTTCATTACTGATAAATCACATAAGATGGTCAAAGAACATTACATGAACAATATAAAATTCCTTACGGTGCAATTAATGAAAAATGAAGAAATTATCAATCGTAAAATTTAAAAACAATTTAGATAACCCAAGCATAGCACACATACGGACTCAAAATTATAGTGTGTTGCGAAATTACCGAGTAATAGGGCTCAGCACAAACAACGGGTATACGCTTTCCTCCGTTACTATTAGTCTCCTTAATAGACAACGCCAAGGCACGTAGCGCGGTGATGAATAGCTGCGATGATCCTGTTCCTCCGATTATGTACCGGTCCTCGGCCACTGCATTTCCGATCACTCGATGCACCCTTCGAATAGCGTCGTTAAACCCCGGCATCTGGTAGAAAAAATCAGCCTCTTTTGGGTTCACAAAGTAGCTTATCAAGTCTGATGCTTTTATTGTTACCGAGCATTCGTTGTCCACCTTTTTCCAGTATGAGTAGAACATTTTAGGGTCACCACTACATCAATTCAATAAAATATATGTATGCATAAAATTAGATTTGCCGGAGCTAATATAAAAATATTGCAATTAAATAATATATGTAGCCGGACCTAATATAGAAACATTGCAATTAAATTAAAACGGAGAAAGTATAACTTACTGGTCAAGATTAATTACAACGTTATTATTTTCTGAGGAAGAGTTGTGATCCTTCATTATACCATTAATGGTGACTAATGTTTTCTTAGAATCATGTAGTAGTGACTCCATTATTGATCACTAATTGATAATTTATGTGTATAACAATTTCTTCTCTTTCTCTCTCTACAACTGTTTCGAAAATGAATTATTGATATGCCTTCTCTATTTTGCCAATATCCTCAAGATTTATAGGATACGATTTACGCATGATTCTTATTGACACAATTGTATTAATTAGATTTTTATAATTTTTGAGGGGAAATTAATAATTATAATTATGTGTGTAGTTGCAACTTGGAAGGAAAATTTATTTATCTATTTATTTTTTATTTTATTTGAAAAGGTAAGGTGCACGAATCAATTGTAGTGTCATAGCTAATGCCATTTATTATAATTTAACAACGAAAATCATGAACCTCGTGTTGCATTCTATGGAGTAATGCAAATTGATGTCTATTTCTAATGGTTTAATAGTTTGTAGACATAATTTCCTATGAGCGGCATACGTGTGACAAATCGAGTAATTGACTATGTTATGTGCGACTAATAAAGTCCGTGTTGCTTAGGAACATGTTTAACTTCACAAACTTTTAAAAAAATCGAGAGTACAATAATTATTGTACATCCATTGTATAGATAGCCTAAAGTGATTTAAAGTTACCCGTGAAATGAATAAAAGTTATCCCAATATATATAAAAGTAACCCAATACAAATAAAATTTATCTACGCTTTGTTAGTAAAGAATCACATTTTAAATGACTAAAAATCAATTATTAGTGATTGAATGTAATTAAATTACCATTATAAAAATTTTCTTATGATCTATTTATATAAAAATTATATTATCTTTAAAGTTACTAAAAAAAAGGCAAAAAGTTACCCCAAAATTAGCTAAAAGTTACCCTTATACTACTCGATGTACACTAATATTAGTGTAAGCTGTAAACCGGGTGTATACAAAAATTTTCCGTTTAACTTTGCGTTAATCTTGCACTTAATGCATGCAAAGTAGGGAGTGACCAATAAAATCCGGGAACCATAGAAAAATGCATGACATCGTTCTTAGATAAATTTGGCAAAAATATGTGATGGAAATCTTAAAATCTATTATATTTTCACTTATGAGTGTCTGACATTGAAAAAAGAAGAGGGCGAGAGAAAAAGTTGACATGAGTCCACTTTAGGTCTAGCAATCCTAACTTGGATCTGAAGGAGTTTTGTCTTCGATAAGTGCAATTACTAGATATATCAAGGATCACTATTATGGAGATAATAATAACTTTGTTCTTTTGGGTCGTCATTATCTGTTGCTAGACTATGATCATTGATCTTTGGGCTAGTCAAATAGTCCAAATCCCACTAGAATGGATCCTATGAGGTCACACAACAAAGGTATTGGGTTAAGCAAGTTAGAGGCCCATTTATGGGCCTCATGAACAAGTAACCAATCATGAATAATTGGATTGGGTTAGTATAGTTAGATTAGAGTTAGGATTTGGGCTTTGTCATGGAGTCTTATTTAGAGATGAGATCTATAAATAAAGTCCATGCCTAGGGTTGTATGAGACAACACAATTAACAGTAAATTGTGCACCAAGCAACCAATAATCCAAAACCTCTCTCTCTGTACCACACGCCTATCCCTCCCCTCGTGGTGGTTCGTGATTTGTTCGTTGCTCGTTCTTCTCCATAGAAGGTCAATTGAAGGGTTCAATTGCAACTAACTAGCATTAGTGGAGGTTTTAATCTGTGCCTGTGGACCAAGTAGAGGAATCACACTTGAGGTTCTTTATCTCCCTTGTTCTTGGGAATCACGCTTCAAAGGTATTAATTCTAATTCTTTATGTGTTATGCATGATCTTGGGATTAGGTGTTATATGAATACGATTCATGTTTTCCGCATTCATATCTATAAACTCTTACAATGGTATCAGTTAGCCTATTGCATTTACACATATTGATTTTTAATTCTTTGATAGTCCACAATTTTAATTCAATTCGGAGGGAGAATAATTTAATTATGGTTCAATCTTTATATTAAATGAGATTTAATTTTTGGAATTGTTTAAATATGATTTAAATTGCTCAATTTTTCTAGCAAAATCCGATTTAAGCCCTAGAATTTTTTGAAAATTGTGATTGAAAGAAAGCCCTAAAATTTTTATTTTGTGCTTAATTTTAATGATTTTCGAATATTTTATGCTTCATAAATTTAATTAGATTGATTTGATACATAAAATATGATTTTTATATAATCTATAATTTGATTTAAGAGTTAGATTAAATTTGAATTAATTTTGTGAAGAACCCTAAATTTGAAATTGATCATTGTGAATTTGATTTCAAAATTGAATTAGGCATAAATGTTGTGTTTTAATTCAAAAGACCTAATTTAATTTAATTTTACAAATGTTGTTTAATTAGATTAAATCTCTCTAAAAAAACGGAAAGAACTGATTTTTGGGAGACACAGTCGTGGCTGGGTGGTCGAACCACCGTCAGGTGGGCCACTACAGTTGTCCAGGTGGTCGATCAAAAGGGGAAGTGAGGGCGGCGGCTGGCGGACAGGCGACAGCAACAAAGTGCAACTATTGCACGGCTACCTGCTGCGGCCTGTGCTTTGATCGTGGCTGGGCTCCAGCCTGGTTGCGACGTCAACCCTCTGACGTTAAAGGGCGGTTTCAGGAGATCGGCGAGCGGCGTGGAACCATCTCTGGTCAGACGGTTTTTTCGGCATTCTTCTGGTCAGGTGGTTTCCTTGGCCGCCGTCTTCTGCGGGTGGGCGAAGTAGACACCTGTGAATTGCTACGTTTGGTCGGGGTTTTCCCTTTGCTGACGTGGCAGTTAGTGTTTTATTAAATAAATAAAAAAAAAATTTAAAATTATTTTTTTTATATATATTTTCAAAATAAATTCTGATTTTATTTTGGGGATAAAATCAAATTTCAAAAGCTAGTTTTTGATAATTATCCTTAATTAAAGTTGTTAATTTTTGGATAAAATTTGTTAAGATAATTTCAAATCTTAAAATTTGTTTTAATCTTTGAAAAGTTTAAGGATTGTTGAGCAAGATTCCAAAAAAATAAATATTGATTTAAATAATGTGATTATCCCATAATTATTTTTGGATAATAATTGAATTAAAATTTTGTGATCGGCTAGTAATTAGGATAAAATCTCCTAAGTTAGTTAGGATAATCTTTGAGGATAAATATGATTTATCTTTTAAGATTAACATAAGATTTGATTCTATCTCATGACTAATTTAAAATATACGATATTTTATTGATAATCATGAATAATATATGATAAAATCTAATTGCATTAATTAAAAATATGAGATATTTATGCCATGTTTCCTTAATTATGATCATTCAATGTTGTAGTTTAGGAAAGCATGATGAGTGATTTATTATGTGGCACTTTATAATATATGATATTATTTATTTCTATATATAAAGACTAGTATGGCCCATAGATTCTAAATACGATCTGCGCATCGTTTCGTATTTTTGTAATCTAAATACGGTTTGCGTACCATTAAGTTTTTTTTTGTAATTTATTTTATTTTATTTAAGTAGTAGATAGAATAGAATAGTATTACAGGTTGCAGTTAATCCAAGAAATCCATGGAGTGAAGGCCCAAATGAGCAAGATGGATGAGATCCATGAAGGTTCAAGTGGGAGCCTTTTGCTTTATTAGTTTTCTTAGGACTACGGGGCCATACTATGTCATTTTTTATTTGTGCATTAGTAGATTATGCATGTTAGATTTTATTTATGTTGATTGATGATGCGTTAGAGTTCACTAAATAATCACAACATAATAAATCTAAGTCTCGGTAATATTGAGGTAGTTTTTCCAATCAAAAACCCGATGAAACCTTCGATATTTATGATGGGTCATGCTAAAGTTGGGTGTCATATTATATCTTAGGGGAGTGGGGGTAAAACAAATTTTACACTTTTGATTGGTTATACTTAACAAGGTTACCTAAAGAGTTTAGAACCTTGAAGCTAAGGGTAATAATTAAACATGTGATGGGTAATTATTCAACCAAGAATTACAAAGAGTTGTAATCAGTAAAGAGTTTACTCACCTTGAAAATGTAATGGTTGATGGTAGGGCCAAAGTCCGGTCAATTATTGCACAATTAAAGGATCTTGGAATCATTTTATTCAATAGGGATCAATTAAAATTGAATAAATGTTTTAAAGTTACCAATAATTAATATCGCTTATGGTACTTTAAATTTTATTAAACATAATTGAATTTTGTGTTTACTTATAAGTAACATGTCGTTCTAATTTTATTATTAAATATAATCTCCTCGATTGAAAATAAAGTTGAGAAACTTTCTCAAAAGGTTAAAAGATAATCCATAAACCTATATTCTAATTTTGCTAAGATGATTCTTAAAGGGCAAGTTTTAAAAACCCATGTCAAATGTCTAAGGTTAGTTTTATTCAAAATGTTTGAATAAAATGCCAACACATCTTCATTTTGAAAAATGGTTCAAGGGATATAATGAGATGGGAGGTACAAACCCTCTAAAAGACAAGTATAGATGTCCAATAAAATCTCTTATCTTCAATATGATTGAATATAAGAAAGTGATTGGAAATCTATATGATCAAAAGTTGATTAAATGACATTATTCTTCATCCATTTCATATAGATTTAAATGGTTGATTAAAGTCCAATATGAATAATGATTGAATAAGACTTAGCAAAATCATGAAAAGTGCTTAAAGTAGTTAAGCAAAGCATCATTTTAAACCTAAGAGAAATGTTCTAAGTGGATCAAATGGGAAAGGTTTAAGAATATATGAGGATTGCATAGGCCAAGAAATGTAAACAAGTTACTACTTCTCAAACCTAGACTGCTTACATGCTAAAAGTTGTTATGAACAACAAATGTTTTAAATTAAATGGACCAATTCCAATTAATTAGAAACTACCTCATATAGTTGGAAGGTAATAGAATGGAAATGTTCCAAATTTAAGAAGTATATTATAGAAATTGATTTAGCATATTGCTAATTCTTGGACATACGATGTCTTGTTTAGTTCACTCATTAAACAATGTGGCTGAACTAAAGGAAGAAGTTATGGCTAAAGGAGAAATAAATCTACAAGTTTAGAAGCAAATGTTGCAACTTTACAAGTAGAACCTATATTTCACCTCACCTTGTTATTGGCTAGAATTAAATAAATGTTATTCATTCTTGCCATTATCAAAACACCATTCAATGTTAGTAATGACTAGGTATCGAAGATCCAAAAACGTGGAATAAATGTTATTGTATGCTTCATTGAGTCAAAATGTGTTTTGAATTGCTAAATAGGTTTAAAATTCTATATGATAGAAATAATTAAACCATTTCTATATATATAAATTGTCTCTAATATTTCAATTAATTCGAATGAAAAATTAACATTGCATGCTAAAGATCCAAAGGGATGGACTTTCAATATCATTGGGTTATGAAACCATTAATGTATGTAAATATCATTCTAATTTGAAATTTTTTTACAAAGTCACCATTTAGAGG